AGAGGTATGTGAGAAGTTTTACCACGTTCACTCGGTATGGTAAATCCCGGTGCCCACAACACTATCGATGCCCAGAGGCATGTGGGGGGCCTTACCGTATGGGAGTTCAATGGCGCCCATAATATTGTAAAGGAAATGTCGGCGCCCACAATACTGTAGAGGAAAAGTCAGCGTCTACAATACTGTTTGTGTCAGGGCGGTTGCAGAGTACTGTTCCTACAGGCGTACAGGGTATGGTCTCTGGTATTGTGGTTTGACTTGTGCGCCCTGGCTTGCTGTCTTCGCTTGTCCCTTGGTCCTTTCCGAGCGGGTGTCCCCGGTCGGATGGCCCCACTCGGCTCTGATTGCGCCAGGCGGAGAAGAGCGGTGAGCAGGGTTTCTGTGAACCCCGGTCAGAGATGCGGGGTCAGAGTCAGAAGTAGTGCTTGGGTCAGGCCTTCCAATCAGAGAGGCCGTCCGAAGGTGGTTGGAGTCCGAGGTGAGCGCTCCGGTCAAAGAGGTGGGCCGAAGTAGTCGACGAGCGGGCGTTGTTCCTCTTTGGCCAGACCTTCCAATCGGTGACTGGACCGCCCTTTCGGTCTGTTGTTTTAGACTCTTGGAACGGCCCACAAGTTGCGTGCCGTCTGTTTGGGCCGAGCCTTTGCGTGGAAACCGGTCCCCGAGGGACCCCGGATTTATGAACCCGATAGGAGCCCCCGAGCCCCCGGGTGATTCGGGAAGAATCTTCCGGGGGATTTTTATCCTGACGGCGGGTGCGCGCGAGCGCACCCACGGGTGTAGGCCCCGAGCCCCCGGGTGGTTCGGGCAGAACCGTCTGGGGGGTGTTCGGTAGCGGGCGTGTGTGCGTGTTTTTAGTTGAGACGGAGTTTGTTTAACCAAGGCGTCATTGTGCAACCGAGGCGTTTAGTTGGTTGAGAGATTGGGTGGGATGGAGCTTGTGGATCCTGGCATCGATGCGCACCGTGTGATCGGGTGAGGCAGTTAGTCTAGTTTAGTTTGGGATCGGGCGAGGAGACAAGGTGGTGCTCGTGGATCTTGATGGGGCGAGATCGGGGTCACAGACCTAGTGTTTTTGGAGCGCAGTCGGAGCGTAGCCGGATGGGGCGAGATCGGGGTCGCAGACCTAGGTGTTTGGAGCGCAGTCGGAGGGGGCGAGTTCGGGGTCGCAGACCCAAGCTTTTTGTGTCTTGAGCCCCCGAGCCTCGTTGGGCCTTAGTAGGGGTCGGTGTGAGTTGTGTGCGTTATCCCATCCTCGGTTCCTCACAACTGGAGGGGCTGAGTTTTGTCGCTTGTCCCGATCGCTCGGGCTCGAGTGACGCGCTCGATGAGTTCGCTAACGGGTATGATCGAGTGGAATTCGGGTCCGTCATTCGTGATAGGGTCGACATAGCCCTCTTGTGACATTCCACTACTCCTTTACCTACAACCCGGTAGATGCCTGGGTTGTTCCGGAGACCGACCCGGTGGCCTGACAGCCTTCCCTCGATGGAGATTCAGTGGGCTTGGCGAGAGGTTTAGGATCGAACGAGAAGGTTGAGATGACCCGGTCTGCCAGACTGGGCGAGGGCCACACGGGGCTCATCTACGTTTTTCTCCCCTAGATCTTGTTGGTTGCTCATGTCGAATGAGGCAACCGCCGCTTCGTGACGCAACACGGAGCGTTGTGATGCATTTCGCTGCACGTGCGATGCTTAGTTCCTGAGCCCCCGAGCGGTTCAGGCCCCAAATCGTCCGGGAGGCATGGGCGTATGGAATGAATGCGTGTATGGATGTATGAAATGATTATAAAGAAATAGAGGTGGTTGGTAGTTTTTACCGTGACGACTCGAGTGTCGGGGTTTACAGAGTATTGTTCCTGTAGGCGTACAGGGTATTGTCCCTGGTATCATGGTTTGACTTGTGCGCCCTGGCTTGCTTTCTCCGCTTGTCCCCTGGTCCTTTCCAAGCGGGTGTCCCCGGTCGGATGGCCCCAGTCAGCTCTGATTGCGCCAGGCGGAGAAGAGCGGTGAGCAGGGTTTCTTGCGAACCCCGGTCGGAGATGCGGGGTTGGAGTCGGAAGTAGTGCTTGGGCCAGGCCTTCTGATCGAAGGGGCCGTCCGGAGGCAGCTGGAGTCCGTGGTGAGCGCTCCGGTCGGAGAGGTGGGCCGAAGTAGTCGATGAGCGGGCACTGTTCCTCTTTGGCCAGACCTTTCAGTCGGTGACTGGATCGCCCTTTCGTCCTGTTGTTTTAGACTCTTGGGCCAGCACACGAGTTGTGTGCTGTCTGTTTGGGCCAAGCCTTGGCATGGAAGTCGGTTCCCGAGGGACCCCAGGTTTATGAACCCGACACTATCCCTTCCCCTCCACGGCTCCCCCGCGTAGCCCCCTCCCCACGCCCAAACCCTATCCGTTCCGCTGCCGCACTCGCTCCTCCTCACCGAGATCTGGAGCTCCGCTATCTCTCCCTCTGGCCCTCCCTCCACTCTCTCTTGGCGCAACAACGGCGCCCCTCTCCCTCCCTCCCGATGGTAGCCCCTCTCACGTGGCCCCTGTAGCGGCGCTCCGTGGTGGAGCTCGCGTGGCCCCCTACGGTGGAGCTCGCGCGGCCCCTGCAGCGGCGCTCTCGTGAGGAGGTGGCGGGATCCGCGTGCCCGCAGCGGTGATGCTCCCCTGCAAGCGGCCGGCGAGATCCGGCCTGAGGAGGTGGCGGCACGGAGCAGGGCGGCTCTCCTCCGACGCGAACGTCTCCGGGCAGGGGCGGCGCAGATCCAGCGTATCTCCTCCTCCGTGGCGGATCCGCTCCCCGCGTCCTCCCTCCTTCCCTTCTCCGGCGGATCTAGTGAACAGCGGCGGCGGCGCGTGGATATGGGCTCGGGAGCGGCGGAACCGGCACCGTTGCAACGGATCCGGCGAGCGGCGACGACGGATGTGGGATTCTATCAAGCTACGGTGGTGCATGCGCGATGGGCTTGGCGGGCTCATCGATGGACCCTCTACACCTCTCGGGCTCCCCTTCGCGCTCCCCCCTCTCTTTGTCGGCCTCCTCCACCGCTCCACGCCTCCTGCTCCCTCGGTGGCGAGCGCGCTGGCCTCCTCCGGATCCGGCGTCGACCCCCTTCCCCTCTCTCTCTCTCTCGACAACCAGTGGGCCTCGGGCTGGTACGGCCTGCGAAATTGGTCGTGCTTCTTGAGCCATCCCGGCACGAAAATCGACCCATAGTGCCGTGCCTGGGCCGGAGGCCAGGCCCGTGGCCCTGTGAGGCACGGCCCGGGAGGCACGGCGTGCCGTGCCGCCCGTTGGCTATCGGGCCGTGCTTTCATGGGCCCGTGTCGTGTCGTGCCGACCCGGCCCGTTGACCATCTATAAGTGTAGCATTAGCATAGCCCGCCCACCCCTTTTTGTGTCGCTGTGGGCCAGTGACGTCAACTTGAGCAGTATCAGGTCTATCAGCAATCCAGTGATTGATCAACAAGCAATCTCAAGGTCTCACCTATGGTCCCGTTCGCTTCGCTGAAAAAACAAGCCGAAACACTATTCCGGCTGATTTATTATGAGAGAAAAACACGGTTTCGGCTGAAAAAATAAGCTGAAAAGTACGGATTATAAGAGAAGCGAACAGGACCATAAAAGGAGGCACGGACATAATTCGGGATGAAGCACGGCAAATTTCGCTCTATTCACTTGCCTTATAAGTCGTACTTTTTCAGCCAACAACTAATTATTTTATCTCATAATAAATCAGCCAACAATATTTTTAGCCATGTCTTATCAGACCAGCGAACAGGCATTTCAATATAAAACAGCAGCGCCGCCTTGGCCTCAAATGGCTCAACAAAATCGTCAAATAAATAAACAAACAAAGCTGCAGTGTGGAGGGAGAGGGAGGATGGATCCATGGAGGTCGGCAGGGTGGTAGGCCATGCAGCTGTTACTCATGGTCACGTCCGCACATCCAATCCAAGGAGGCGTGAACCACCGGACAAGCTTATTCAGAACAACACATAGCTCCAATCCAAGGATCGATGGATTTGAGGCGGAGGTAGAGCACGTAGCAGAAGAAGAGTGTATGCAGTGGATGAAAGTGGTTGGGGGAAAAAATTTCAGAGAAGGCCGAACAACACGTACCTCCGACTGCTGTTGAATCTTAAATTTTAACACCACCTATAAAACTTTCTCTAAAAATTTATATAAGCTCCACGGGGTTTCCACTTACGGGGGGCCTGAGCCCCCCCTGCCCATCAGCCGATGCAAGTCCACCGAGACAGGCTGGAGCACGGGCACAGGTCAAGGAACAGAGGCCGGCCCTGGTGACGCAGCCGCGATGGCAATGGCATCTACGGAACGGACCCTACGCGGCTGCTGGTGTCGTCGTTGTGGTTTCATGGACCACAGCGATCAAAAACACTGGTGCGACGGGTCAATATCGTTCGAGCTTATTCAGAACTACTTTTCAATTATAGAACAATATTTTTCTCTCATAATATATTAATATAGCATCAGCATAAATTAAATTTCAGCATAAACGAACATGTCTATCTACAGTAGTTTGTGGAGTCCCACCCTTGCCAGTTGTGGGCTTATGTCTAACATCACGTCAGTACCCAACAGCTTTCAAAGGTTTTGCACAACAGCCGCATTCTTCATTACTACTCCTCACTTGACGTGCCAAACTGTTGGATCAGCCAGGTCGTCCAAATGGTACCGGAGATTATTATTGCCATCATCAAGAGAAGAATGTGTTACAGTGTACATACAGAATGTTCTTCGATCCGTCCAAGTATACATGTAGTATAAGTTAAACAACAAATGCAACAGGAATATGCTTCGAGTTGATAGGTTACATGTAGTATATGATGCTAGAGGAAGTTCCTTGTGACAAAGAATCGAATCACCAGTCAATGGCTTTTGGAAGGCAAGCAGATAATGCAAAGCGACCTACGTACAACCTACACGCAGCGATGTGCAGCTCAGCAGAAACGAACCCTTCCGAAACCTGTCTTGCTCCATCAGAAGCAGCTCTTCAGCTAGAACAGCACGAGCCTTTCGTGGCGGTGGATGATTCAGCGACGTTAATGGTGGTTCCTTGCATTGAGCGTCCGTTGGTGGATGCAGACACTTGCGCGACGAGCGCCTTCTTGCTTACCGTCTGATGAATCTCGCTTAAGATGGTGTGGAACGCCTTCTCGACGTTTATCGCCTCCAGAGCAGAGGTCTCGAGGAAGGACAGGCTTTCGTTCTCTGAAAATGCTTGACCGTCTTCCTCGGGGACCGACCTTAGGTGGTTCAGATCCGACTTGTTACCAGCCAACATAACAACAATGTTGGCGTCTGCGTGATCCCGGAGCTCTCGGAGCCACCTCTGAACATTGTCGAAGGTTTGCTTCTTTGTGATGTCGTAGACAAGAAGGGCTCCAACTGCGCCCCTGTAGTAAGCGCTGGTGATAGCGCGGTACCTCTCCTGCCCAGCCGTGTCCCATATCTGTGCCTTGACAGTCTTCCCCTCTATCTGCCTCAAATAAAAGAGAAAAGGAACTTGTGCTGAGATGATGCATAACACGAACAGCTTCACAAGGCAACACCATCAGATAACACGAACAGCTTCAGAAGGCAACACCATCAGTAAGGAAGGAATTCCAACTCTAGATGCACAATGACGGTGAACAATGGGCGGAACAGTAATATTTTTGTATGTCCTGAACACTAGGAGATCTACTGATAAAGGGTAAATGGAGTGCCGAGTTCATAGCTTATTCTGTGAGCAGTAGGCAAGGCAAACTCATAGCTTATTCTGGGAAGTAGGCAAGGCAAACTCATAGCTTATTCTGTGAAGTAGGCAAGGCAAACTCAAACTCTGACCTACCTGAGCTTAAGCTACCTAGCCACATAATCAGTAAAGAGAACCAATGAAAAAGAAAATCCCTATCATTATAAGATCTCATGACACCAGTTCAACCAAGTAACAAACACGTTGAAAAGCCAAACTAAACTTAAAGAAAAGATATAATTCCAAAATTTCAGAGGATATTTTCATCGTACATTAAAAACAATGGCTTCAGATCTCATCTCACTCTCTAACTACACTGAGACCTCCATCATTCTTTTATTAATTTCTACATATGAACTAGATAAAGTATTTGTGACAGTGCACGTAGAAATGAAGTACAAATAATTGTACCTTAGTGTCCCATTGTACAACTCACTATTCAATAAAACCAAGATTGGAAATGACTAGTGAAAGAGACAATTAAGGTCATCTCTATCATTAAGACTACCGGAAGGAATTAGTACCAAAATCATATGGCAGACAATTCAGAGGATTGTACATGACTATACATGACTATCTATGTCATCCTCGCACCAACACTACTTCAGGATCTGTGCCACCAGGTGCATACTAACCCTGATATATATACTCCTATTTTGTGGGATGAAAATTTAATTTTCTCGAGGCTGATTTTACTTTTCTCCTACTTATACTTAGGGATACCTTTCCCTATCACTTCATCTTTCACCTCGTGGAGCAATACCGATGTAATACCTCTCCCCCAAAAAATAATAATACAAATCTTGATTTATGAGGGTCATCGATATCAAGTCTGACTAAATTACTAATATTTATGATGGATAATAACTACTACTTAGATTAATCGTAGAATATATTTTTATAATAAAATTATTTGGAGATAAAATATGAATATTATTTTCCATAAATTTTGTCAAAATTGAGATTGATTGACTAATATTTTCATTCTTCTGGGACGAAAGGAATATGTGCCTTTTATTTTCCAATTTTATTGTGCTGACGTGACAACGCACTATGGATATGCTTGGATTCCTTGTTCAGGACTGTGTATCCTAACTGAGCTAGGTAATGGAGTGGTCAGTGTGTATCCTAACTGAGCTAGGAAATGGAGTGATCAGTGTGTATCCTAACTGAGCTTAGGTGAGCCAAATTGCGGGTATGCCTGGATTCTTTGATGAGCACTATGTTGCCTTGCTGAGCTAGGAGCTGGAATGGCAAGGCATTTGGATGTAGAGCAAGCTAATCTTGATTTCTATGCTGGCAAGATTTTTCTTGCTGGCTGAGGTGAGCCAAATCGGTTCTCCTGGTTGGACGAGTGTCTCGTGGCTCGCGCATGGTGAGGCGAGGCGGGGCTAGGACAGCCTTGCTCATAACCAAGCACGCCCAGTTTTCTATTTTTTTTTTTTTTTTAAAAAAAACAAGCACGCCCGCCTCTCCTCGTCTAGCAAGAATCTCGTTGCTTGTGCAAGGTGAGGTGAGGGCAAGCTTGCTCACAACCAAAACCAAGCACGCCTTACAGCATTTCTAATCTTCCCTCGTGGTGTCATGCCAACTAAACAGGTGGTGCTTCGCACATTGCATTGTTCTCAAAACCATAATACGAACAAGCACAGACCAGACCACACCGGTCTTCAGAGTCAAAACATAAAACAGAGACCATTCATTCTATTAATCTCGTTCTTTTTTTAGATGATTAATCTGTCGTTCTGAAACAGAAGACTACGGCATAAGAGATAAGACTGAGAAATCGAGCGTGACGTACTTGCACGAGGCGCGGTCAAAATGTAGCAGCCTAAACAACAATTGACACAATAAGAACTCAAAATCAAAAGACAGACGCGTCATGCATGGCGGCAAATGGCGCCGGAGGCCGGACGGACGCCACCACGCAAAATTCTACCATACATTTGCCACATTGGGGCACGATCAGATCGGGGTTGAGGTATATGGGGGTACCTGCAGGGTGCGGGTGGCGAACTCGACGCCGATGGTGGACTTGGACTCGAGGAAGAACTCGTTGCGCGTGAATCGCGAGAGGATGTTGGACTTGCCGACGCCGGAGTCGCCGATGAGCACGATCTTGAAGAGGTAGTCGTACTCATTGTCCACCCGTTGCGCCATGTCTGGTCGATCGAGCGAGCCCCAACCGAAGCTTAGCCGGACGGACGCCGCTCGCTCGCTCGCTCGCTCGCTCTTTCGCCGAACGGGACGGGATTCGATTCGCCCGCTCGGTTTCCGCTCGCGTGGGGATTTGAAACGGTGAAGGGCAGCAGATCCGTGGCGGGGATGCGGTGGGGGAGGACGGAGGAGGGAGGAAACGGGAATGGGCGGCGACCGTGGAGGCGGGGGCGGAGGGGGAGAGGGCCGTGGGCTGAGCTGGACGTGTTTGGCGGTTGATTTGGCCGTATCTCGCGACGGCTAGCCAATGGACGGCTGGCGCGTCGCTGGCGGTTGTTGGCTTTGCCCGCCCTCGGCTCGGCGCGTGGCGGAAGATCTGTCAGATCAGATCTGGGACGAAGGGGGAATGTGCCGTGCCCGTGGTTTTCGCAGAGTCGAATCGCTACGAATGCAGTGTTTGGTTAATGGGCCTGGGCCAACAACTTTGGGCCTGAATGGGCCTAAGATGACGGATGTTCTCTTGTTTCCCTATGGGCCAAGCAAAAAGTGCAAGACCAATACCTATTTGGAACAGAAATTTCACAAAAAAAAAAATTATAAAAAATATAAGATTCGAGAAAAAAAAATCCTGCGTTCTAAGTTGCACGATGCGTAATTCCAGAGTTGTGAGAATGAACCACCCAAAATACATAATTAGACCTACTAATCAGTCAACAAATAATAGCATGTCGGGTTCATCATATAAACGTAATATGGATAAAAAATGATCTGAATATAGATACATATAAGATCAGTAAAAAACTATTACCGGTGCCTTCATGACCTATTTGATTTTTAGTAAAAAATGGATAGTTATGAAGATAATATAAATTTGACATTATTTATCTTTTTATTTGGGACTCGTTGCAACGTAGGGTTAGTGGGGGTGTTCCGCTACATGAATAAGTGGCTGCTGCAGGCAACGCTCTGAGAGAGAAGAATAAGTGGCTGCAGTAGCAGCCGCCGCTTATTCCTACACCCGAACACCCAAATGATGTACTATCTCCATCTTGAAAATAAACGCAATTTTATCTATCTCTAGTCAAACTATCTAAACATTAACCAAAATGTTTCAAAATTTATGACACCAAATGTAAGTCTTTTTACAGGCAGTATAACTTAGGGCTTGAGTAGTACATATGTATGTAATCGTCTTCATAGGTGGGCCCCTTATTAGTGATAAAGAGTTGTTTCACCTCCTACACAGTGTTGGGTCTAAACATGAACCCACCTAGAGCAAAGAAATACCCACCCATCAGTCAATTGTCCCCCCACCCCACCTATTCCCTTCTTCCACACGCTCTCTTTCGTGTCGCCGTCTCGCCCCTTCGAAATCAATCTTCCTCACCCTGGATTTGCTTGCCTCTACCCTAAATCGGTCTTCCTCGTGCCCAGGTTGGCTTGTCTCTACCCTGAATAAGTCTTTTTGTACTTATGTCAAAGAGGACCACATGACCACATGCAGCCATCGCTGCTGCTCCTCGCTAGCATCCCCTGGCTACAATATTTGTTCGCACTAGAGGTGTGTCGATATGATGGGTTGGCGTCGCTCTTTTTGGAGGCGGTGGTAGCATCTTCCTTGATTCGACATCGGTGGGGACGTCGATACTCCATTTGAGGGCACGTCAATCCAAAGGCGTGTGGAGGCTCCAGGGGCACTACCATGGCATGAGAGAGAAGTGAATGTTCACTTCGTAATATCGGCCTGTTCGTTGGTTGGTTTCGAAATTTGGTTTAAATTTGGTGATCTTGATTTCTTTGTGAGAGGAAAAACATTGTTGTTATTTGGTGGTTTGAAATTTGAGATGAAACCAACAAGCGAACATGGTGGTTGAGTCAATCCATATATAGCCCTGCATGGATCTCTTTTTGCACACATTGTGACCACTCTTAAGAGAAACTCAAATTCAATTATATTTTAGGACGACCGAGTATAATGCTGCACGGCAGCGTGAATAGAGAAGGTCAATCTAGTTATGTTTCAACACGTTTCAATTCTTTCCTATGGAAAACCAAAAACTGTCTCCCGTTCGTTTCGCTGAAAAAAAAAAGCTATAACATTGTTCTGATTGATTTGTTATGAGAAAAAAAATTATTTCAGCTAAATAAAAACTGAAAAGTACTAATTACAGACAACAAGCCAACAGGCCTAAACAAACGACTATACAAAACCGCATTCATCGGAATCACGGACAAACAGGCCAGAGAGGCAGAGGTTCCACTTCCAGACCTACTATGCTCAATAGTGTGCTACAGACCTACTACTAGTACAGTACTATGCTCCAAGTAGACACAAGAAGTCAGTGGGAAAAAGAAACTTGAAGACCACAGACAACGTGCGAATCTACGCAAAGGGCCGGAAGACACGAAGACTGCACAAACTCTCAGCTCCATATTACCGTACATTCATGATTCAACCAATTTGATCAAGCCTGGAGCTCCTTGTTTGGCTGGCTGAGAGGTGCCGCCCTGACTATGAGTATTCTTACTCTTACTGATCCTGACGAAGCACGACAGCACCACATGGATCACAAAATAGGCTAGCA